GGAAGGGTCCGAGGAACGCGACTCTAGTACCAATTGTAACAACCCCGAAAATTCAAAATGAAATATATAATAATTTAAGTGCAGAAGCGAAATAAAAGATTAAAGTTTACATCCCTTACACAATTGCTTAAATGTACTAAACAAACATCACAGAATGAATTCTCTGAAAGAAGTACGATAAATGAGAAAAGTAAAGGAAAATATAAAGTATCTAGCATCTACTCACAATCTTCTTGCAGATCGGACTCGGAAACCAGGTCCTCTTGATCTGAAATGGTTTAATAAGAGGTGAGCTACACTAGCCCAGTAAGGACATTACACTATATCACCGACACAAAAGTAAAGGCTGGTAGAAAATAAAAAATAACCAATGGAGCACTAAATTTAAACCAATACATTTATTAAAAGTAAAACCATTTACTATTTTACTTACCATTGGAGAATTTATGGAAACAAATTATAAAAGCAATAATATCATACAGATCACAATTTCATATACGATCAGCAAGATAGAACATATTATAAATTCACATTTATTAATAATAAACTAAATCATAACCATTTCTCATTTCACTAGCCTACTAGTATCTATGGAGATCCATAGGGGTGTCTCCGCTATACGTGAACCATTTTCCTTAACAATCTTAATTACAGAGCTGTCCCCATACCACATCCGGTGTGAGTGCTAAGACATTAAAACTCAATATCCCGTCCGGTATGATGGTGAAATAGGTCATCCCCATACCGTCCGGTATGAGTGCTAAATGACCAAGTCTTCATACCCCGTCCGATATGAGACAAGGTTCACGGTAAGGTTCCCTATGAACCCAGTCTATCCACCATCTCCCAATATATCTAGTGAGGCTATCGTATTATCTGTTTATTTGATCACATACCTTTTCTATTTTTCCTTAGTCCCCGTTGCCAAATTAAACATAATCACATAAACAAATGAACATGCATCCGATAATGTAATCATATCTTAAATCCCAAAATCACACGGTGATCAAGTAAGGTAGTAATACATGTATTTAAATCATAAAGTAGATAAACCAAATACCATCATACTTTTAGACTGTAAAATAAATTAACAGAAAATAATGTCCGGTTCAGGCTCCATTAGCAATCCGTAATTAATTATGCACATCTATTTAATTTGTACAAAATACCATATTATTATTTATTCAAATTTTAATTCTATGATAGAAAATAAGGTGAGAAGTCTTTATTTGATTTGACGCTGAAAAGCTAAATGGTTCATTGCACCTACGAGCGGTCCCTAGGTTCCCTGAATTTTTCTTTGGAAACTGAAACGCGCTTACAGTACTTACAAATATTCCAAATAAACCCAAAAATCAGTTTCAGGGCCTACTCGCCCAATTTAAAAAATCTAGCATGGCAGCTCCATCGTACTCCGGCGATCCATCTCGGGTTGGCTGTTTTCGGCTGCTGACCGGGCATCCGATGCGTCCTGGTTGGTCGGGGTTGCTGACCGGGCATCCGACGTGCCGTAATTTTTTTAAATAATGTTTTGACCTCAAATTTCTAATTTTTCTTTTAAAAATACCCCGGAACCCAAATTTTCATCATTTTTTTCGAAAATTGTTTTAATTTAATCATTAACGAATTTTTACCACTTTTTTCATTAAATTAGAATAAAATAAGTTAAAATAAATTAAATAAAAAATAATTATATTAAAAAAATAAAAATAAGAAAAAATAAAATGTTGGGTGTTACAGATAGTGTTCTGGCGGTGCAGTTACTCACTAAAGAATATTATGATACTAATGCGCATGTCGCCCTCATTCGTACAATCACTTACTATTACAGGATTGACAAGTTCGAATTCAATGTCTATCACGAAAGTAATAAATGTGCTGATTATTTGACGAATGATGATTTTTCTCCACCGGTGGAGCTTCATTCTCATGTTCAAGTGTCGAATGATTTCCAACAGTTTATCACTGATGATATCATGAATGTCTCTTCGATCAGGATGTGCATGACCATCTTTTCTTTTAACTTTTACCTTTTTTATACCAAAAATAAATAAATTTGTTGATCCTAAAATTACCAAAAAATATATGAAAAAGATAATATATATCGGCATAAACTGGTATTTGGTATATTAATACATATATACATAATATTATATAATATGTATTCTGTTGATGTTAGACATAATAGATCGTTATATATATCACCATACGTTTGTATATATAATAATATATATTATATAATATATGCACTTAAAAAATTAATTTAAATTATTATTTATATAATAATATTAAAAGATAAAAGTTAATTAATCAATTTTTTTTTTTTAATTTTAGTAATGTTTAAATTTTTAACGACAGTCACAACTACAACTACCTACACAAGGTGACTAACAAATACAAGTAACAGATAGCAGAAAAATGCAACTGGAGGCAGATGGAGGGGACTTACGGGTGATAAATAATAGCATGTGGCATATGGCAGACGGTAACACTAATTGACGGGCGGCAGGGGGCGGAGAGCAGCGGAAGGTGGGCAGGAACGGCAGAGGGCAGCTAGTAGGCAACATATGTGAGCAGCGGAGGGTGATTGGCAGACGGTATAGGGCGGGCAATGTGCCGTGACAACCAAAGGGCAGGCGGCGAGGGGGTAGAAAACGGTAGAAGGTGGGTAGGCTGACGGCGAGCAACAAACAGACAGAGGGCATGCGACGAAGGGTAATTAGTAGACAGCAAATAGCAGGCAATAAACACTAAATCCATATGATAATTTTTTCGCTACCGAAGAGTCAAAACTGAAGTTTCAAATTTAAACAAAAATATGACCTGCCTTTGATTGTCTTCGTCCAAAAGGAAAACGTTGGCACCCAACTGATGCTCACATGAACCACGATTCACCATGGATGGCGGCCTTAAATTTTAGAAAATGACCAAAACAGAATATGAAGTACTGTGCAACAAAGACAAATCCTAATATGCAACTATTTTCTACATCATGACGTGTCTCTATCCTTTCTTTTTAAACTTACTACATCCCCATTTTACTCTCTATTATTGCACCTTTATCCTTCCTCATATCCATTTCCCCATTCCTTAAACACCCACATATACATAATATATATATATATATATATTTCTTCTAAAATTTGTATCAGAAAAGAAAAAAAGAAGACAACCGAGAGGAGCACGCTTAGATTTTTTTGGGTGCAGGGCTCATTCACACAATATCTTTTCCTTTTTTAAATTTTATTGAGATGGGCCATTAGGAGCTAACATATATATTATGTGTATATGTATAATATATATATATATATATATGTATATCCCCTTAGGTCTTGATTAGTGGATTTAACCTTTCGCCGCCTATACAGGGCCATCTGCATTTCTTATTGCCTATTTGGGTAGCTCGTGGGTTAAAACAAAAATATAGATGTCCACAGAAACAAACATGATAAAAATTTCAGTCAAAATAATATTTATTTTCAACTTAACTTTATAATAAATAAATTTAGTTTACTATTTCTATAATTTTTTTTTAAAAGATTATTGACAAATACCTGTCCAAAATAGTTTCTACAAAATTATTCAAAAGAAAATAAGGAAAAGATGTTGACGAAATTATTTGGACTATTATAATCTCCAATTGACTTGAAATATCAAAATTATTTTAGAGGATAAATCATAGAATATGGACACGTGAGTGAGAACAGGTTATATATAAATATATATATATATAGTACCTAAAGTTGATAACTTATCTTTAAATTTTGGCTCAATTATTATCCATCAAAACACCCAAAAACAAAAAAAGAAAGAAAGAAATTTAACTATCACCCATTATTCACCATCACTTTCGTATTATTCAACTTGTGATAGCTTCCAATTATACAAACTAATTTCACCACATAATTCATAACAATATGTGCTTAATGTGTATCAATAATTTCAACTAATCATACAAGTTCAAAATTAGACCCATAAAACAAAACTATGGAGAAATACGTGGCAAGTGTGGTTGAGAAAATCACATATGTTGAATATATATATATATATATATATATATATAATGGGGTAGTGGGAGGCGGCTCTGTCATGGCGTATGCAACGGTGGTGAGTGGTGACGGTCATATTTTGGGAATTTTTTTTAAAAAAAATTATTTTCTTATTTTCATATCTGTTTGGTCACCAACCATGGGGTCCACAAAATCCCATTTCTCCTCTTATCTAAAATATATTATTTGGGTTAATTGTTAAGTGATTAAAAATTATCACAAGGCAACCAAAAAAATTTAAACGTAACATTACAGTATAAAAAAATAAGTTTTTTCATATGATAAAAAATCAAAATTAATACGAGATTTAATAATGAAAAATGGAGAGTAACGTTTTGTCGTAATCACAAGTTACAACATTTATTATAATTGTTTTTTGATTATTAATTAGAAAAATGATTAATTTGAAAGAGCATAGAGCCGCCGGTAGCCAGGAGAGATTTTTCCCGAGGGTCCACGACGAAAGGACGGTATGGCTCGAGCATGACCTGCAGCATTATTAGTAACCACTACCCACCGCCTCTTCTGCCCCACCACCCACTCCGCTCCATTCCTACTTCCCAGTTGCCCTTAAACTCATTTCATTCATTCATTCATTACCATCACGTGAATTTTCTGAAAATTCAAAATTCATCTCATACCCCAGAAACAACCAGGAAAATATCTAATCAATAAAATTAAATGTAACGTTCATTATTGTACATGTAAAAATAAAATCCAGAATTATAGAAGAAATCTGCTTTTGAGAAAAGGAAAGCAAGTAAATTATAATAGAGCCCAGAATTATCCGACAAAAGCCAACCTCACCGCATGACGAATTCATGACTTTTTCCGAATACTCTCTTTTTTTAACACGTGTTCTTCTCCCCTCTCCCCCGCCTGCCGTGGTAAAATTCCAAATCTGCCCTCCCCACTTTCCACGGTCCATCCAAAAATATTTGTAAATTAATGTTTTGTTCTAAAAATACGTCGTATTCACTTTTCAACCATACATTATTAATAATATAATTACAAAACCACCAAAATTATAAATAATTAACTACTCCACAACGTTAATCTCTCTTCGCAACAGACAAAATCGTCCTACATTTAACTCTTTCCATAGATAATTACACTCCCGTAAATTTAAGGGGCCTACTTTCACTTTGACCACACAATAAAATATGTAGAGGGGTATTTTTGGTATTGCATAATCGGAGTCACCGGAAGCCCCCCTTCAAAAACTGTAGTTATAACAAATAGTATAATGCCACGTAACCACCTCACTGCCCGGGTTGCTAACGGAGATTGCCGTCAGCACCCACATAAATATCTTCGGATTACTGGTACTAAAATAACGTTCGTCGTTAGGCAACGGCGTCGACCAGAAAATCGTCAACGTCAAGCTCCCCGAACTCTTCCTCGGCAAAGCTTTTTCCCGAAAACATGAAATCCGGCACGCTTAACGCGGCGTCGATTCCGAAGCCGAAGGTATCAACGTCGCAGTAATTGAGGCCATCAAACGGTGTTATCTCCTCGTAACGGAGAACTGATGTCGGAGATGACGTGGCTGTGCTTGACGAGTCAAATCCGTCTTTTTGACTGTCCACAGCCGTCAACTCCGTTACACTCGGGTTGGGAAAGTTGGTAACGGCGTCTGAACCCTTAAACTTCAATGCAGCTTCGTCATACACGGCGGCCGCTTCCTCGGCGGTGTTGAAGGTTCCCAGCCAGATACGTTTTCTCTGGGCTGGGTCCCGGATCTCTGCGGCCCACTTCCCCCAAGGTCTCTGCCGAACACCCCTGAATTTTTGCCCGCGACTGACGTCAGATTTCGTCACTCTCGATGGTCTCCTTCTAGGTGACTTTTGCTTAGGTAACGTAGTAGGAGCCGGAAGTGGCGTCGGAGATCGAGGTGGATGTGGGTCTGGGGTTGAAGATGAATCAAAGGTGATAACTTGAACTTGCCTCTTAACTCTTCGTAGAAAACCATGTCTTTCCTCTTCATCCTCGCTGGAAGAATCGGTGGCGTCGGCGTCGGTAAGTATGATCTGGACACGTCTCCGACGGACTTTGGCATCCGCCGGGGGATCATGGAGGAGCTTGTTGGTGGTGAAGACCCGAGAAGAGAGCTTGAGAGTGGACTGTATGGACACCATGGGTTGATGGTGGGAGGGAGCAGATCCAAGGGTAGGAGACGAGCTTTGGTCAGGACATGAGTAGAAAAGCACGTAAAAGCAACAAAACTGCTACTGCATGGGAGCAAGAACAGCTTTTCAAGATATAAGAAGCTAGGGATGAAGATCCTGTGATGTTTCGAACATACAATAATCTCGAGGAGAGTAAAAGAATCCGCGTGGTATTTATAGGAAAAAGAAAAGGAAGATGTTGAAGAAAAGAAGAACTGGGGAAAGGAACGAGAGATCAGGACAGGCGGACAAAAAGAGGCAAACAAAAGGTTTTGAAGTATTAGTGAAAGAACCAGACAATCACACTCTGCACACTGGCTATACCTCTTCTACATATGGAAGTGTGTCTGGGTGCAAAGAGTATTGGGTCTTTCACACCTTTGGCGGGAAAAGAGTCAGTCCTAACTAGTAGAAACCCAATACATAGGAAAACAGAGAAAAGTAGGGTGAGAGAGAAAGAGTGGGAAGAAAGAGGGAGGAAATGAGTTGAAAGTTGAAGCAGGTGATCTTATATATAGTTCACGGAGTGTGGGTGCATATAATTGTATTATATGTATATTGGTAATAAATAATCGTGGGACTTTGAAATTTCTTTGGTCTTCTTCTTTCGTGGGTCAGGGGGCAGTGAGAGTGGAGACTGGGAGAGAACACTTACACTGCATCTAGCTGCCTTCCATTGACGTGTCAAAACTTCTGCTCCTCAGCTGTCCATTCTCATTACTAACTACCAATGAAATTTCCAATTTGTTTTGTTGGGTAAATTCCATTTCCGAAGTCTTCTCCACTCTCTACTCCATTTGCAACATAGTGATTGGAGAAAGAAACGTCAAAAGCTATAAAACAGGTAATTAAGGCAAGTAAAATCTTGGTCTTATCAGACAGAGCCTGAAACTTGAAACTGCATGAATTAAACCCTGAATGTCAAATTAATTTAACAAGATAGTATTTGCTGGTGATGGAGAACAGCGTGCAACGAAGACGTGAACTTATAGGGACCGGAAATGATAGCTACAAGACTTTTGTCTTCTTGAGAGACTGTGCAAGTGTTGAATGGGTTAGGTGATTGAGATCATGATAACACAGTGATAGAGTCTGTGGTTACTCCTCCCTCTGTTTGTCCTCCGTAAACTCTGGTCAAAACGGAGACTCTGAATCTGGGTTTCCTTTTTCCCCCCCTTTATTCATATTCCATTTTAACCAGAGTGATAAACTTGAAAAAGATCCTTATGATTATAGCAACACTCAATCGTCCACGTAAGTTGGGATTCGACCAGGAAGACTCGTGGATAGCAGAGTTGTTATATTACCTACAGCTACGTATTCCTCTCTATCTGTTTCTTTCTATATATTCTTTTATGGTAATGTTTATCAATACAAAAATAAGCCAAAGGCCTTTCTTTTTCATGCCCACTTTAAGAAGAGAAACACCCAATTAATATTGCTGGCTAATTAAAATATCAAGATTGATTATAATTTCTCGTTGAAAATAACAAAAGTATTTCTCTCTCTTTTTCTGGTGAATATTTTAGTAAGCAGCACCTTGATTATTTTAGTGAAAGAGAAAAATTAGGCTTTGAAATAAGGCACTAAAAAACGTTAAAGAAAAGCAAGTTGTGGCAGGTGGGTTTTAGCTTGAGGAAGAAGCAAAGGCAGCAGAGAAAGAATGAATCAGCATATAAGATGTAGTTGAAGAAGGCCGCTCCCTGTCTTTGCTTGTCGATAAAGCGATAAGCCTTTCGCTCTGCTTTTAACTACACGTAGCTTTGGCATGCAGATCTTGTAATAATGGTTCCAATAATATCATTCTTACTGATTAAATATCATGTGATACCCTAACCACCGTCCTAATATGTTCCAGATGCAGAAGCCCACCATCACCACGCTGGCTTCCTCTGTAAAATTAACCATTCTAATAAATGGAATTATGAAAATGGCTTGTTTTGTGGATGTCGGCCTTGCTCCCACGATGTAACAAATTAAGAGAAGACAATAAAGACAAATGTCATTGAGAGGAAAGCCGATGAAGAAAAAGATCGGGAGCCACATGGTTAAACTTAAATTCAGAGATTTTTTCTCCAGGCGATGCTATTATTAAGAATAAAAGATAATGAAAAAAAGTCCTCCGAAGAAAAAATCTTACAAGAAAATGACGCTAGCTATATAACCTTAGCTTACTCCTAAAAAATACAGTTGCATTTCCAAAAAATCCTCTTGCGCCTTCCATGGATATCTAATGTTGGACAGTGCAGTTCCATTCACCAGGAGCACATACCTGCTGCAAATCTAGAGCAAACAGGCACAACTACAATACCCCAAAAAAAGATAATCCTTGACCTAACACACCCTCGGTCTAGGACACAGCACGGCATGTTGCGTGCACCTTGCTCCCAAACTTAAAAACAGGTAACCAATCCCCTAAGATGAAATGAAACCTGTCTTGCTGAAAAAACAAGCAATTCATTCATTTCTTTCCAAAAAAACAAGAATTTGGTGCACATGCATGTATGGGTTCAACTATAATAAGTATTAACTTATCCATGCAATTCCAGAATATAAATAGTTTCAAAATAAATCTTTTAAAGCCTTAGATAATAAATAAGAGAGTTCTAGTTAATTGACAAGCGGCGCGTGCACTTGACAATATAAAAACATTACATTACACTTCTTCTCTCACTCTCCAATGTCTTCAAACAACTATTCACAGAATTATGATTGAAGTTCCCTGCCAATTATGAGTGCTCAATTCAAACACAACCAAAAAAGCAACATTCTGGATACTGCTTTTCTTTTCACCTAATGGAGAATACAACCAATCTTGAACTCTTTTCAAGTTCACCGGTGATAAAAATCATCAACCCATGGCATACTTCTGGGTCCAGCTGCGTGCTGTGGCCTCATACTTTGCTCGGTCAGTCTTGTACATGTGAGCAATTTCTGGCACAAGGGGATCATCTGGGTTTGGATCCGTCAACAGGGAGCATATAGATAAAAGCACCTACAATGAGTAGAAGGAAAATTGCAAAGGAACTCCATTAATCATCTTTGTAATCAATCTTACAAGTGCTTGAACCAAATTAACTGATACAACTTCTTCACGTTGTGTAGATAACAAAAATAGCAACCTCCCAGATATAGACATGTTTGTTAACTGAATGAGCATCGTAAGGAAAAGTGCAAATCAATTCACACAAACACCAATTCCTTGTCCTAAAGAACTAAAAGAAGACACAAGACAAATTTTCATATATTGAAGCAAAAGACTTCAAGGTCCTAGTTAGCCTACGGTACTCATGACCGAAACCTTATCAGGACTGTAGGGTATTTTTGCTACCCCTTGGATAACTAGGGAGGTGGATTCCATCCAATGCCAATAAGCAAAATGCATTCTTTGCGTGAAACAGTAATGGAGAAACATTATTAGCAACAAAGTTAACTCACGTGGAACGAACACATATAGAGTCAATCTTGGAGCTCCTAATCAAACAAAATACACATATAAAAAATGAAAGACCCACAGAGTAGAAACAAAGTTTGAAGGTGGAAAATGGTGGTCCTTTGATAACCTTGCAGACCCACAAATTATTTATGGGATGTTGCCACTCTATGTACAGACATATAATTGAAGTGTGCAAGTTTGTGTGATATCCCTAAACTCATATAAGCAGCCAAGCTTTCAGAAAACTAAGTTCCACCAGAGCTGGCCTGAGCAATTGATCAAACTCCACTTTCTTCGACAATAAAGATAATGGTTACTTAATTGCTAACACAGATGAGTTAGCTAAACATGTCAATAAAATAGCTCAATTCTGATGCTTGACTATTAAATATAGAAGAAAAAACTATCTCAAACCTTGGAGATGGTTAGCGCTGGGCTCCATTGTTCTTTAAGAATATCCAGACATATGCTTCCATTACTATTGATATTTGGATGGAAAACTTTAGTCCTAAATGCGACCTGGAAATATGAAGAAAAAGAATTAATAAAGAGGACAAAGAAATTAAGGAAAAGACAAGTAATTATCACTTACTATAAAGTATTAGTCTCCAACCTAATAAGTGAAATCAGTAAAATAAACAAATAACACAGCCAACGAAAAAATAACTCAAAATGAAACCAGATATGCAAATAGAACTGTGGAGATGCATATAGCAGTTCCCCACTTCAGCTTAATGAAGTGCCAAGGTATAAGAAATGCTAATCATCTATAATTTTCAATTTTTTTTTGTCTCCTCTCCACTTTTGTACCGTAAGACCAATTTGATTAAAAGATTATTTTCTTGCATAAGGTATATTCTACATGTCTTTGTCTTGAAGATAATGGCGTAGAAGGATACAAGTCTTACTGAACATGATAAGACGACATCTCACATAATTCACTCTTAGTGGTGGTAAACTTTCTACTTTTCCACAACCAATATGTTAACTAATTCCATAAACAACAGACACCTTTCCTTTATTTTCAAAAAGAAATAAGTTCCAGATTCAAAATTATACTCCACAAGAACAACCCTTGCTGGGAAATTTTATATACTTTCCTATATTCAACAAAGATTTTGCAATGACGCACATTATAAATATTAGTCCATATAGGAACAGCAGCACTAAAAAAAGAATGCACTAAGAAAAAATTTACCTTGGGAGGCTTAAATGGGTAGTCGGGAGGAAAATGAATGGAAACCAGAAAGACACCCCCAGCATAAGGGCTATCTGAAGGCCCCATAATAGTTGCTTGCCAATGGAACATGTCTTCAGCGACAGGACCTATCTTATAGAAAAGAGGCAAAAGTTACAAGCGTTGGTTCATTTATTTGCTCAATCAAATAAAAATCTGAATCCGTTAACAGTAAGTTCAAATTGATTTTTCTTAACGACTAGAAACTCAACTAAAGTATGCATCAGTTAACTGAAAAACCTAAGGTACCTACTACAAATCTTGTCTTACGTAACCCTAAGTTGGCTAAATATTGGCAATAGAGAAACAATTTTTATGAAATCATGCTTTTTGAGCATCCAATATAAGCAAATCCAGGTACAAATAGTCAGATATCGAACTTAATTTGATAGGTAAAAGGGTTAACTCTCTTTCCCGTAAAAAGAACTCGACTTTAAATCAAAATAATAAACGCTTGGAGTTTAGGATCGTAAAGGTACGAACCGGCGCTGCAAGAGGTAGGTGGATCCTTCTGCAAGTCCTTGAGCTCCTTCAAGATGCGTTTGGATGCCATGACTCGACAGCAACAGTGAAAGAGCTAAATCAACCAATAAGTACCTGAACCACAACCAGATCGTGAACCCAGCATACAAAACCAACACAATAATTTCACAAAAAAACCCAGAACCAGAACTATTCACACAATAAAACCCTAGATCTCCTTTCATCAACAAAAATAAACACAAAACGACTACGCAAATACAGAAGCAGAGAGAAAATATATGAAACGGATAGCATGAGAGAGAGCATACCGAAAGGAAACAGATAAGATTGATAGAGAAACGAACGCTTCAACGAAAATAAAAAAGAAACTAAATAGAAGAAGCTATGAAGGAGATTCAAAGGCAATTATAGACCAGAGAGAGATAGAGACAGACACGAAGGAAACGAGGGCTACTTCTAGAATTTTCTCACTCCTTTAGCGTAAGATCAACGTCCGTTCTTTTCTCTTTTTTTTTTTTTTCTTTTTGTTTTTTAATTGAGAAAGGTCGATTTTCATTTCAACCCCTCTTATTCTCGTTATTTTACATTTCTACCACCACTCTACCTGTCTATTCAACCTACAATTTTTATTTAATTATATAAATTATTTACAAATTAATTTAAATAAATTATAAAGTGAAAAATGTTTAAGTATATAGTAACTTTAAACATTAAATCATAACATAAAAATATAAATACAAACATTTAATGTATAGGTATAGCAAGAAAAAAATATTCAGCCTTATTACCATTCTAAATTAAATGGACTTATCGAAACAGAATCACTTAAAATTTAATCAAATCTTAAATTTAATTACATATTTTCTTCAATATAAATTAATTCATTGAATATGTAATTTACAAAAATAAAAACTTAACCACTTGATAAACTTATCAGTATTTAGAAATTTTATAGCTAATTTAAGCATGAAAATATGAAGATTCATTTTTCAATAAATTTTTTAGTTTTCATCTTTTCATTTTTGGGCTAAGTATAAAATTAAAAATTATAATAAATTCAAATAAATGTGTTTTATCCCAAAGATAGTATAATAATAAATATTTAGTGGGTAAAAAATTTTATATTTTAAATGTTTAATAATCTTTAAATTGCAACAATTAAATAAATTTTAATTTTTATACACAATTAATTGACTCGGCATTCCAATATAAATTAATAATAAGTAAAAATAAATAATTTAAAATTATAGTATTCTTTAACCTTATATTGTCTTTCTTTTTTTTTTTTTTACGAAGTACATAAAAATGAGATTAAACTAAAATTATATTAATTATTAATAAAAAAAAAAGTTATGTGGCTTTATCTATTTTTAATAAAAATAAAGTACAAGAGAAGATTTACCTGCTTTTGGATAAAATTACAGTTTGTGAAATTTATAATTATTGAAAAATAAAAATCAAGAATGTTATTTCATAAAAAAGTACAAACAAAAATAAATAGACTGCTACTTCATTTTACAACAAAGCATCTCGATACCAATAACGTTGTCCACTAATAACAAAATTAATAAAAATAAACATTCAAAGAGATAATAAATCAAAAAAATTAAAGTATATAAACAAAAAAGAAAAAGGCAATAGATGGTAAAAAAAATACAAAAATATCAAATGAGCAAATGTTCAACTTATTTCAATCAAATGAAAAGTAATGTGATTTCTAAAATTTGGTTGCAAGTAAATTTACATGCAATCTCAATGGTTATCGGATTTTCTAATGGAAATCAGACATTAAATGAAGAAGATTTGAGGAAATCGGTGAAGAAAAGGAAGTCAAAAATGAGAGGAAAAAGGGAATACTCGATTTTATGAATTGCGAAAAAATGAGAATTAATTCATTAATGAATAATAGCAAAAGTCTTTATATATGAGATTTAATTTATGGTTACTTACCAAACGAACCCTAAATTATGAATAGTTATATTTTGACATGTCACTTATTAAGTAATTATATAGAACTTACCTTAATAGTTTTTCCTCAAGCTAGAGTATACAAGCTTTGAAGACCTAACTTGACTAAAGCAATCTGAAATTGAGAAGTGGCAAGAGGCTTTATAAAGCAATTTGCAAGCTGACGAGACGAGAAAACGGACAATTCTTGAAAAGGATCATTAGAAATTTTTTGTTGAACCACGTGACAATCAATTTCAATGTATTTTATATATTCATGGAAGACAAGATTCTCAGCTATCTTAATGGTGGACAAATTATCACAGTATAACAAGGTCATTTGATATGAATGAATATGTATATTAGAGAGCAAGTACTACATCCACTCAAGTTTATGAGTAACGACTACAAGTGCACGACACCTAGCCTCTGAAGAAAATCTGGATACAATTTGTTGCTTTTTAACATTTCAAGAGATGAGATCATCACCAAGGAAGACACAAAAGTCCCTAAGGGATTTCCTAAAATTAATATAGGAAGACCAGTTTGAATCACTAAATGCCTTAAGCTGTAAATAATGATGGACATGACAAAATATCATAACTTGGAGTCCCTTTTGAATATCGTAATATCATATATGTAGCTTATAAATGAACCTGAGTAGGTGCATTGAGAAGCTGAGATAATTGTTAAATGGAAAAATTAATGTTGAGTCTTGTGTTTGTAAGATATAACAATTACCAACTAACTTCTTGTATGAAGTTACACCCACACTAGAAAGAACCATATGCTCTATTCAATTTGATAGATGAAACCTTTGGTGTGAATGTCGGTTTGTGGCCCAAGGACACTGTGTTACGCAATAAATCTAAGGCATATTTCCTTTAATAGGGACCTACAAAGGAACGGATAGTTTCAAGCCTTACAAAGAATTTTACTTCAGCAAAATCCTTAATGCGAAAAGTATCATAAAGATATTTCTTGTCCATTCGATAAAGAATTTGAAGTCTTAGTGAGGAAGAGTGACCAAGACAAAAATGTCATAATGTTTTATTAGTAACAGTAGAAGAACAATCAAATGGACTAGCTTGAATAATAGAATTTACAGTGATAAAGTCTTTAGTCTAATTGGCTTTAAAATGAAAAAAAAAAACTCATTATTCTCTTTAGCTATACCAATTGACCTCTGGCTATGAATATCTTGAATGGTGCAACAATTATCATGAAATAGTAAGCAATACTTAGAATTCTGTAGCAAATGACCGATAGAAATAAGATTAAGGGAAAACTATGGGGCATACAAAGCATTATGGAGGATAAATATAGGTGAAATAGAATCATCATCAATGTATAATAGGTACTGTTTGAGAATTAAGTAGTTTGATAAAAATATGTCTATATGTCTGTAGAAATCAAACAACTCAATGCAATTAACTACTTTATTAGTAGCCCTATTATCAATGATCCAATTATTTAATGGACTATTGGAAAACAAAGGAAAGTTATTACTAGATTTGGGGTAAGTTGAAAATTAGATGTAAGAGTATTAACTTGTGACATATTTGGTGTAGTTGTCGACGATAGAATTAAAGTTAGGAGTTTTTGGTACTATTCCTTGGTAAAAAAAAAAAAGGCAAATCATCTAAAACATTAATTGAGAATTGAATCTCACACAGGATTCAACTACATAATTATTTTCTACTAAGTGTTGTCTTGATTGATACTCGACACATTTTATAACTTAGGTTTGTAGCCTAGTGGATAACCATGTTTCTTATAATATTTATCCACTCTGTGGCCAATAAATCCACGATATGTACAAGTTGGTCATTTATCATTAGCTCATGCATTATTCTTTTTATTAGCTCCATAATTGTAAGTATTGGTTGCTCTCTATTGTTGACCAGAAGTCTTATTCGTATATAGTACATTCAATTCATATTGCATAGAGACTCATGCATTAAAACTTCATTAATGTTGCAAGACTAGTACAAATACCTTATTCAAAGGAGATAGAAGCTCAATAAGTAAAATCTGATACTTCACTATCCTAAAGGACTCATTTACTCTTTAAAAAATCAAATTATTTTATCTTATTCCTGATATTCTCTATTTATAGTTGCTACATTACATGAACATCTCAATTCATACTCACATACAGGTACGACTCTCAAGTTTGAGAGTTCATCCCACTATATATTTATCTAAGTAAAATACTCAGTAATCTAATGTATTTTTTATTTCAATGAATATATTTTATCTTGAAGGTCAAAAACACGCACTATATTTCTTTATGTGAATCTATCATGCAGATCCTTCTATAAATTTTTTGTATATTCTATCTAAATTTCACTTTGTGCTATGGAAGGTGATGATGATCTCGTTATCTAGGAAATAAGTAAAGTATTAGATTATTCACATGCTCCATATAGGGGATCATATCTAGTTAGAATAGGAAGAAATCCATCTACAAACTTCAACTTATTTTTAGAAATTAAAGTTATATGCATCGAACGAGATCAAGAATGAGAGTTGTTACCTGTAAACATTGTAGAATTGAGATAGAGTAAAGGATTCTCACTCGAATGCAAATAGAAAAGATTTGAGATAACTTCCCTAAGCTTCAACAAGTCTGAACTTGCAAGCGTATCCATGGTTGATCTTCAGCTTCCGATGAAGAAAAAAACACAAAAACAGAAAACCTAGGGTTTCCTCAAACGTTCACCACCATCGATCGATTAAAGAAAACACAAGTCTGATACTATATCAGCCTTTTGTAATAAATCTGGAGATGTATTTAATGGAAATCAAACATTAAATGGAGAAGATTTGAGAAAAATGATGAAGAGAAGAAAGTGTGCTAGGAAAACCAAAAATGAGAGAAAAATAAGAACACTCGATTTTATGAATTGTGAAAAATAAAAATTAATTAACTAATAAAGAATTATAGAGATATTTATACATGAGATTTAACTTAGAGCTAATTATAAAACTGACCCTAAATTGTGAATATTTATATTTAACCCACTATTTACGAGTAATTATATAGAACTTACTTTAGTAATAGTTATTGTAAAATTAAATGGTAAAAATATAATAATTAACACGCAGAAAATAAATAAAGTTACTTGAAAAGATAACTTAGCGAATTTCTTTGTATGTCGATATTAAAAAAATTTGTATTTGAGAAATTATAAAAAAACTTAAAATAAGATTTCGTCTTGAGAATTCAAGCTTAATATAAAAAAGGATTTAAAGGAATTAAATGTTTTGCGCACTAGAATTACAATTTCAAATTTTAAATTTAAATCTTAATCTCTATGAGTGATTTGATTTTTCTTGTAGACATTATTACTAAAGAAATTCAACAGGTTAATCTTGAACATGATAAGATTTTACTGATACATTCTATGTTCAATGTCTTATTATTGAAAAAATATAGAATTTGAGAATTTTAACAATATGTTTTATATCAAAACTTAAATTTAGATAAAAAAAAAATTTATGACTTTTGGGCTTGATTGAAAAAATAATTTAATATTATGGCTCAAATATTTGAAAGTGAAATGCTTAAATATTTAATTTCTTTAATTTTTTTTGTCTCTAAGTTTTATTAATGATTGAATCTTATTTATAGAAGTTATTTGGCGAGAAATTGGTGAAAGTTTATCTGATGACACTTGATACGATTTAATTAGATCAGGTTATAATCTTAACTTTTAATTCAATCAAATAAACATTTAGTTAATAGGTAATAAAAATTATATATTATGTTTGTATGCAAATTACATTTATATTATATTATATATTTTAGTTTAATTAAAAATGTATTATATATTGTATAATTTTCATTAAAAAATTATGTTAGCATGTATGGAACCAATCATCATCTTGGTCCATATCTTGAAGACCTAAAGTTATCCAATTCAACCCTATTTTTTTATCACAAAATAAAGACAAGTGATACATTTTTATTTGTGATACAAGTTATGATTTAAATTATCTAGTCTTATGATAATAACTAGTCAAAATGTAATATTTTATTTGATTAATTATACTTTAATTGGTAACAAATTTTGAAATAATAAAAATATGTACACTAAAAAATTATTACAAATGTTTACTTAGTATTAAATATTTTATTAAAAAATTATAATAACTTAAGTTATTTTGAGAGTATTTATATAAGTTTAATTACTTTTATCTATCTTGTTGAATATAATTATTAATTTTTAACAATTTTTAGTTTGGTTATATATATATATATTAAATTATTTATTTTCTATATACCTCATAAGCATTTATTTTTTATTTTACTTGTATCAACAATAATTTCTCTTTCTTTCTTCACCTTTCTCTCACTTTTTTTTCTACTAATTTACTTGTTAAAAGGTTTAAATAATTTAACTCTTTCCCTCCATTAACATCTTCTCTTTTTCTAGGTTTAGGCTCTAAAGATTTCTATTTTGCATATAATTAAAAACCTCACTAGATAATGAGTTAAATAGTAATTAGCATTATAATACGCAATACTCCCAAAGGAAAACTAATTAGAATGGACCTAGTGAGAATGTTGTTTCACATTAAGTGTTGTGTTTTAATTTACCATGTAAGTTTATGTGTAAATTATTATGCATAAAAAATTATTAAATTAATTTAGCCCGTTTAAAGTCATACAATACAGTTAAGGGTATTTTGAACTTTAATGCATCAAATTAAAGTATATCTTTTATGTGTAGAAATTAAATTATTATTTTTGATTTTGTGATATGTCAAATTAGAAATAATGAAAGTTAATTGGCGGTTACCCTATAAATACGGTTATGGTTCCTAAATGACTAGTGGTCAATTAGTTTATTCTATTTGATATCTTATTGTTAGAAATAAAGAGAATGAGAAAACTCCAAGGGACTATGTACTAATTTAAAAGACTAACTGCATGACGTATTATTTTTATTCATCACGACTGATTAATGTACCCTTTCAATTCATATTTTAATTCTGATGATTTAATATGAATTTCAGAGTTTATTTTGTAAAGAATAAATCGCCAACATAAAGAACTTAATAAATACCATTAGTCTGTTGAGTGGCAAGATCATTTTTATTTCTAGTAGCTAAAGCTAATAATCCTTTAAGACATCATATGTTCTTTAGATCTCAACGAAATTGGACTTGATAATTTAACAACAAATTGGGCCATCTTCATACCTCGAACATAACCACTAGACTTATTTAGTTGTCACAACCTTAAGATGATCAATAATCCTCTCATCTAACCATCTACATTGAAGAATACGCAAATGATTAACATAAAGAGGAATTCCAGAAGTAGCATAGAAGACATGTTGTAAAAGTAAGGACCAAGAAATGAAAAAATCTAAATAGACTAGATATCATATCTAAAATCCTTAAAAGATAAAGAATCTTATGATTGTAAGCATCAAGAACTGAAAAATCTAAATAGATTAGATATCATATTTAAATTTCTCAAAATCCCTCCATAACATGAAAGAGTGCCCATCATTTCATGTATATCCCAATGGTTAACTTGTTCTTAATACAACATCCATTATCATGTATTGTAAAAAGAATATCAATAAAAAATAGAAAATTTTCAAATTTTAAATTTTAAAAAGTCATAACTAATGTAGAATTCTCTTAACACACACTTTGACATTGACCAATTATATAATGACATTTTAAAAGGGGTCAGAGAAGCCTATAATATAAATGTATGAATTCAATTTACCTTTTTTTTTTTTACTCTTTGTGAAGAAGAAGAAAGAAATATATATATAGATGTACAAATATTTGAGTATTATTAACACCAATGATAATAGAAAAAAGATATGAAAGATCACGAATATTACAGTTAAAACTATTAAATTTCGCACCTTAATAGATGTCATGTGCCATAAAAGGTACCCTCCCTAATATCAACCTTTCAATTTATATCATTTTGAAAACGATTAAGAAGTTTTCTACTATATTCACACTCCTAATAAAATATCGTATATATTAAAAGGTAACTCAATATTAATTTATCAATAAAATATTAAATTTAATATCTAAATCTCGAACACTTAAAAATTTATAAACATCTTAATAGTCTTGATAAAGTAGACTCGGACATCCCAATCATCCCCATAAATAAAACTTGAACATCTGAATCTTTATCAAGCAATAAGCTTTGATGCTAAAGCCTCATATTAGCCCAAAAAACTTACATGACATTGTACTAACTATCATTATAGAAAATTAAAAAGTCTTTTTTAACTGAAATCTTTAAATTTGATAATCTCAAATATTTTTTAGTGTAATAGAATGTTGTAATCCTTAGTATTTTATATGAGTTACTAGAACAAATAAGATTTAATGTTGTAAATACGATCAAAATCTTAGCAAGTTGTGACATATCATTACCCTAATTTTTCAAGTTGGTTGCACTTTTTCCTTCCATTTCTCCTTAATTTTCTTCGGTGTCTTGATTATCAATGGATTTATATTTCAAAAAAGCTTTAACATGTGTTAAATTATTCATTTTGTAAATTAATGACTTAAGGATTTTTACATGATAAAACTAATTATAATTGCTACATAAATAGTAATCTTTTTGAAAGAATATTTTTAAATTTTAAAAATACTAGATAAGCAAAAAAGGTAAATAAAATAAGAATGTGATAATTTTTAAGACCAAATCAACATATAAAGACCATTAATAAGCATTAAAAAGATTAAGTTTAATGGGTCCAAATTAACATATCTCCATGATTGTACTGTAATGAATGTTCTAACAAGTAATCATAAAAAAAAAAAAAAGAATTTGTACTCACTTGTCTGTGTTCTATTAACAAGAACCTCATAAGAGATATGGGACTTCCTTTTCTCTCTCAGAGGAAAAAAATAATGATGTCTTGACCTAAATAGATAACCTCACTGTACACCACCTCTGCTGTCATCTTCAAATCATTTACCATTCCATCCATCACCTCCCAGCTCCTGCAGCCCACCATTGAAACCATTAGAAAAGAACAATTTGTCTTGTCCTTGTCCCGTTCTATGAACCCTATTTTGTACTTATACCATTCAAGATTTTAAATTGTTTGGAGATGATTTGCTTTCAATCTAATTTCTATTGAAATGGCTAGAACCCATGTTTTATTAGCTGTTGAGGTTTGCCCCACCACCAACAAAAATCCATGATGAACATTAAAAAGAAAAAGAAAGCATACTTGGAGGAAGAGAGAATTTAGATTTGAGAGAAGATTTTAACATTGCATTTGTGTTTCTCCCCATGATCCATTTCATCTTGCTTTACACCCTCGCATGATATAACTATCGGCAAATGGAGTTTAATCCCTCCAACATCCCCTCCAATTTTCCCTCTCAAAATCACATTACCCATCATCTGGAAACTCTTGTAATTTGATGTCAAGATTGTGGCGTCAACATCGCCAATTTCAGATTTCTCAACCCTGGTTCGTACTACCAATCTTGTCTCATTGCTGGGGCCTTGTCGAAATCCTGCAATTCTGGTGCTTCCAAGATTAACATTCTCAGACGAGATTTCCGCCATTAAAGGGCTATAATAAAGAACAGTCTTTTCGTCTTTGTTGGATAACTGGAGGAGTGCTAATGCCTCTGCAACCAAAAGAACTTTGTGAGAAGGCGATGTGCCCACGACGTCCATTACAGGGAACCTGAGTTTGGTTATGTGAACCTCCGGGAGTGCTGACTTCATAAAGTTGATAGCCAAGATGCCGAGTATGAGGATTAGGAGAAGGAGAAGGGAAACTACCATGCATGTCGATGCACAGCACTTGAAATAACAGGGATGGCAGCCTTTGTTATCTAGGTCGTCATCATGATTGTCATAATTGTTGTGATCATCGTTTAGGTAGGAATGTCGATCGATTATCTCGCTATGTTGATCGTCTGGGTCGTTAATGCCAATATTATGATGATGGCCACCATGATCATTGTCGTCTTCATCAGAATTTTTCTTGGGTGAATGATCATCCTCAAGGTCATCATCCTCAGGAAGATCCTCGAGTTGGTGGCTCTTGGGAGGGAAATCAGCAAAGACGACCCGGCGTGCAGGCTTATTATGTTTATTGGGCTGGTCGTTGACGCCGGCAGGAGGCAGTGGGACTGGTGGTAATGACGGCAACGGTGGCAGTGGTGGTAATGGGGGCCGGGTGAATGGGTTGGCATTGGTGGTTTTGTCAAAACCCACCATTGCTAGAGATCCTCCGAGATGGAAGGGAGGCCAAAGGGTGAGTTTTGAGTTGGAGGGTTTTAAGTCTCAAAATTTCTTCTGTGTCAAATTTAGGAGAACCTCAATTTACGTGGTAAATCAAGGGTGGCATCCAACACATAAAAATTGTTAGTTATATTTCTCAGCTATGTCATTCAATTATCATTATCATTTTCTTCAATTCTTCTATATTATTTAACAAATTAAATATTGGCTAAATCGTGTATATTAGTTTTGTTTTTATATCATGTATAAAAAAAGAATGTTCTTAATGCATAATTAACTGAAAACCAGGAACTTGCACACAGAAAGTTCTTAATGTGAGCTTATATCATCAATTTCATTCACAATGTTGAAGAAGAAAAAGGAAATAGTACAACAAATCATGAAAAAGAAAATGGTACCTTATCTAATGAATTTTAAAATTCAGAAGCCTAAATCCCTAAAAAGAAGATGAACAAATTCTCTCAATTGGACAGATTCACACCTAAGAAACCACAAATATGCTTGTGATTTTTGAATAATTAATTAAGACAACCTTACAATGCGAGACAATGGATCTTAAACTTGATGAAGTCAAGCATCAGCAATTATAAGAGATCATGGTGTCTGCACATTTGAATCCTTGGATTTATTCTCTTCGGAGGATGGCCGGTTCTCTGAGTCAGATTGCCGGACCTCTTCAATCATTTTGACAACATCATCCATATTGGGTCGCATGTCAGGCACCTTTGACACACATGCCATTGCAATTTGCAACATTTGCACCATTTCTTCTTCGATGTTTTGGAATCTCATCAACTCAACATCAAAAACCTCAGCCGTCCACTCCTCCCTCACCACGGATTGCACCCACCTAGGAAGATCAACCATATCATCTCGCCCTGGGGACTGGAGGGGAGCTTTTCCAGTGAGCATCTCAAGTAGGAGGACACCAAAGCTATACACATCTGACTTGTGAGTGTGTTTACGGGTTTCAATCACCTCAGGTGCTCGATACCCTGCACTCCGAGATGGGGTAACAGGTGCATTCATAAGAGGAGTAAGGCCAAAATCAGAGATGCCACTCTCAAGATCTTGGTTGAGGAGTACGTTTGAGGACTTTATATTTCCATGGGTAAATTTTGGACCACCCAGAGAATGGAGGTGGGCAATTCCTCTAGCAATTCCAAGAGAGATTTTTACTCTTGTATCCCAGTCTAGTGGAGTTCTTCCAGGTCCTCTGTTTCCTGTAAAAAACAATCAAATGAGAAGATGCCACAAAAGAAAATTTCAGTAGAAACAGTTGCAAATATAAAAAATTTCAGTACAGGTTAATGGATAATTTACAGTGGAACTGTTCTAGAAGTGAAGAACTGATAAAATGATTTTTATAGTAAAAGTTTCTCTGACTAACAAATGCGATTAACTCCAAAACCATCCTACATCTAGTAGCAATGGATTTTGTTCACCTATTTAAGGTCCCTATTTTGCATCTAAGCAAAAATAGAAATATTATA